TGAATCAATTTTGTAACGTTTCAGTGGGAAATGGAGATGTTTATTCCTGAACAAAAATAACAGCATAAATTTTTTTTTGCACAAGAAAGACAGAAGATCGCTAAAAGAACCTATTTTATTTTCAGCATTTTGGCGATCTGGAAAATGAATCGGAAATTTTACCATAAAAATAAGCCAAAAACAAGGATGTAAATTAAAAAATTTAAATTTTTAGTAAGAAACTACGAAAACGCATGCACCGCGAGTAGTTGTTGAGAGACGAGGGAAAGTGAAGAAAGCGCCTCCTCTGATCCTGCTGGGGTCGTCCAACTTATCATGTGGATAGAAAAATGCAGAAAACACTAGAAAGATGCGATATGCAGGCGAATATGGTAGAAGTTACTCAGGGACAAGCATAAACAGACTCGAAAAATGACAGCCACAAACAGTTCGGAGATGTGCCCGGAAATGCACAGATTCAGTACCGGCAAGTTCTCGATAGTGGGAACTACTAAGGATGCTTTTGCCCTTGCCGGAGGAAGACGAGGTACAATCACACTTGGGCCATTTGCACTGTATCCACCCATCATGACGAATGAGATACAATGGACATTTTGGGTTGCCACAGGTGAGCTTTGTTATAAGAAGGCAAAACAAACCAGAAGAAGCAGCTATCCTCAGCGTTCGAGTCGAGCACCGACTTCTGAAATGCAACAGTAAGGTCCATGCACTGCTCGGATCCACTGCTCGTCGCATAATAGAAGCTACCGGATGAAAGCAGGCGCAGCACCTGTAGAAAGCACATGGAAATACGGTGCCATCATGGACAACTTTTCACATACCACCTACATGTGAGAAATTAGAAGAAAAAACCTCCTATAACTAAAATTTCAGCCTCAAGGTTATACACCAGAAGACTGACTAAGGTCCCAAATAAAACAGCCAAAACTGATAAGCAATCAATCGTGCTCTTTTGACGCAATTTGGCCTTCCCTGGCAGATTTTAGAAGACCAGCTGATTGGATAATGCCCGTTCAATACAATTTTGAGCCCTTCTTCACAAAAAAAGGTAGTGATCGGTTGCACAGTGTTCAATGCAAAATTAAGCTACGCAGTTCTCTTCATCCAGGATCCTTCTGGCGTGAACAGCAATAATCACTGTAAGCGCGCCACACCACGCAATCCGGCAAAAACTAGTCACGAATTTTCCTGCACAATGGGGCAGTTGACTGTTACTTTGTTTATGAGAAATACCACAACTTGCATCATTTATTCGTGCATCGGCCACAGCACCGCTCGGTCCTTTCAGTGGCACTGCGCTTACTTCCCAAATTCGATAAATTCTGGAGCCACGCAACTCACCCACGCTTTCATCATCGGTAACTGCTAACAGATGCGCGTCATCTAAAAATTTCAAAATAGCAGCACTTCTTGCACTAGCATGTCGAGGCGTACTCCCACCACGGCGCTTCCTCCCCAAACAGCGCCTCACTTCCCATTTTTACTCCATTTAATTGAGAACACTTTTTTCTTTTCAACGCGCTCACGCTATATTTACCGTATCAGGTCCAGTTTTTCGCTTTTTTGTGCAATTTGATTGGTTCTTTTCTTTCGGTTATCTCGTACCCGTCTGGCATAAAATTTTGTGCCCTCCTGGGTTAACCTTATCTCTACTTTCCCCATCCTTCCAGGTGAATTTTATTCTCACTGACCCAGTCTTCTGCAATTTTTTCCTCACCAAATGAGAGATTTCAGGACATTTTACAAGCACTGAATTTCCTGAACAGTCATCCGCGTGGGAGAAGCAAGAAAGGCAGACAAAACAGCAAAACGAATTGTTGGTTGTTCGGAATAACTCGGCGTTTAAAGAGATCGAAATAAATCAAGCAACCTTGACCAGTCCGTAACACTCCCACCAAGCCTCTCGCGTCCAAAAGTTTTCCATGAGTTGTCCGAAGCCTGGATATTGTTTCGTTATTGGCTGAAACCAAGAAATTACAGAATTCACGTCTAAACAGTTGCATTCAGTATGTGGAAGCACACCAGTATCATTACTAATACGGACTGCCCACAGCGACTGTCCGGGCGATGTTCGCATCCATGCTGTGTTGCTTTTATTCCCGAAATACGATGCTGACAGTACTAGAAACAATATTCCAGCCAGAAAATCAGGGCCTCTTTGTGCCCGAGTCGCTGTGACGGGCGCTCGGAAATCGGGCACCTCGTCAAACAGCAACGACCCGCTAAAAAA